CTGTAACCAAACTGGAGGATTGTGCAGGTACAGACTCAAAGCCTACTTCTGTTTAAGATGAGTAAAGTTGTGATTTAGAAAAAGGAGATCTTCTTAGCCTTTTTATTGGGCCACTGTGTGAAGGTGTAGAACAGGAACTCATGGCAAGATTCAGTCAGCATTTTACCCTCTCATCTGTTTTCCCCTCCCTAGGGTACTGCTGGTTCTTTCAGAAGTTACAGCTGCCCCCACCCCGTTTGGAAACCTGGAAGCCAGCTAGTTTCTCCTCAGTCTCTCGCATTGGACCCTTCGTTTCCATTCTCACTGCCAATTCCAAGTTTTATTGCCTTAGGCCTGAATTATTGTAATAGAGTCCTAACATTATTGTCCCCATGCCTTCGCATGGCCTGAAATGCCCTATCTCACACATGAACTAGAGTCCAAGTTCAAATATCACCTTCTCTGTATGGTCCTTGCTGACTCAAACCTCCACCCTAAGATATTACAGAAGGAACTATCCAGGGATCAGGTGTGTGACCAGAGGCACATCACCATGCTTCACTTTGTTAAACCTCTGTCTCTTTATCTGTCAAATAGAATAAATAACAGGACTGTGGTGAGAATTCAAACTATGTCGGGAGAAATGACCATTTCAGGGCTTGCACTTTCCCCACTTTTCTCAGCAGGCTGATAATTCTGCAGTCTGAGACCTTGACTTACTTTAAGTGCCTAGCAGACAGCATGGCATGGATAGAGTAGGCGTGTGGTGCATACTGAATGAATAAATACAGAGATGGACGCTCTCTCTTTAATCCCTTATGTATACTCTTACTTGCAAAATTAATGCTCCTTCAGTTTGGCTTTCAATACACGTCACTTTTTTGTTTAAAAATTATTTATGGCTCTCTAGTACCTATAGGTTCAAATTCCTTGTTTGATATTCAACGCCTTCATGATTTGGCACTATATACTGGTTTTCGACTTTATCTCCCATTGTTCACCGCTATAATCCTTTTCATCTAGCTGTTCAGGCAGGTTTATTCATTGCCAGCCATTTCCCCAAAGTCTGTTCTTTTCTTATCCTTGTCTTTGCACTTTCATTCATACCCCGTCCCCCATCAACAGGCATTTTCTTTTCTGCCTAAGCACGTCCTACCCACCTGTGGCAGGGAAAGCTAGTTGCCCCCTAATATCCCTAAAGAAATTGGAAAAAGTCCCAAATAATTCCACCATTTAACATGTGGGCAGATTTTCTTTCAAGATTTGTTTCCATGCATTTAAACATATTTTTAAAACTGTTAAGTGAGATGCAGTTTCTATGACCACACGCTTATTTCTATTTAGGTAAGCAAAAAGAAGCAAGTAGAATAGAAATCACCATAACCCTACTAAGCAGTGATTTAACCTTCTGGTCACATGTCGCTGTTAGACACATATTAGTATGTAAAATACTTCCCTTCATATTTTACAAAGTTGAGATATGATCGATCTAGTTTCTTTTCTGTCTTACTTGGTTAGCATTGTTTCAAAACAAATTTTTCACATCATTAAGAAAGCTTGATAAAGATAATTTTAAACAAATAGGAGCACAATATCCAATTGTTTGAGTAACCCATAATTTACTTAGTTTTTCATTGTTCCACATTTAGGATTTAGTTTTTTCAAGTTGCCTTTATTTTAAACAATGCTGCAATGAATATTTTTGTTCATAAATCTTTGACCTTGTTTCTCAAGAGTCCCTTAGGATTATTACAGCAACTATATTTTTGAGTGCTTACCATGTACCAAGTATTTACTGCACTGTTACTGCACAGAATCCTCATAACAATGCTATAAAGTGATATTATCATTCCCATTTCACAAATGACAAAACTGAAGCACAACTAAATAGAGCAACACGCTCAGTGCACTCAAAGCCATGACAGTGGGGCCAAAATTTAACCTAGCCAGTCTGACTCCAAAGCTCATGTTCTCAACCCTGAACTTTTTAAGGCTCCTGATACTTATTGCCAAATGACTTCCCAGAAAGGTTGTTTCAATCGACACTCCATCAGCAATATAAGAGTGTCCATTACTCTTATTTCTCCTTCTTTCAAGCAATTACCAGGCATTTGCATCTCACTTTCTGTGAACTGTCTCTTCGCATATTTGGCCATCTAGCAGAGAAGGTTACTATGGCCACCAGTTAGTCCAACTTGAACTTCCCAGTGGCAGGCAAAGTGATATTTCCCCAGAATCTGGCCACATCCATCCCACTCTGATGTGAGAATGATCTGAATGAATGCAAAGACTATAAAATAATGCTTTTATACGGGGAGACACAGAGCTGTCTAGGCCTGTCTATGCAGAGTCTAGAGGAGCCTTCATTTGGAAGCCTGTGCACGTGGCTGGGGCCAGCCTGGAGCCCCCAAAGCTCACAAGCTTGCAGGAGTCTAAGCTGGCATCAGTGTCTCTTGTTTTCCACTATATCTGATGGTTTCCATTATGAATGATAGCCATTGTCATCTCTAAGCTAAGTTTCAGACTTCATGGTCAGCAAATTTTTCTTTTTAAAGGGTCAGCCATTACTTGCAGGTTCTTTTTCTTTCTTTCTTTTTAAAATTGATACTCATGTGTGTCAATCAAAACAGTTCGTGCCTGCCAGAAAAAGTTTTCAGGATGGGCGCTTGGAAGGTATGTGAAGGCAAATGAAATAAAAAAAAAAACCTTGATAAAAAAAATTACATTTTAAGTTGTAATCCTCTATGCCTGCAATCCATGAGGAATTTATTTGCAGAATTTCCTCTCTCTGAAGTGCCCACTCCTTTCCTTGCTTATTGCCCAGGTCAGCTTAAATCCTGGCTCTTGCCTGAGGCCTCCCCTTTGTGCTCACCTCAAATAAAGAGCTCCTTTTACACGTTTTGATAACACTTACAGTCCCAGTCAGGTGCTCACTTATTCAGAGTCTGTCTTGCATTTTTATTTAAATGTGACCTGAGCTTTTGTGTTCCACTATTTTCAAGATCAAGAGCTCAAGGGCTAAAGGCCACACTTCTTTTTATTCCTTTTGTAGCAAGGTGGCGCTGTGCCCATAGAACTTGCTCAATATTTGATCAATGAATACATGGATGAAAAACATAAGTCAATTTGGAATAAATCAGGGAGTAAGTAGATTAGGGTGGTATAAATAATAATAGTTTTTAAAAAGTACTTTAAAGTTTACAAAATGCATCTTGTTCAGTCTCATTTGTAACTCAGAATAACCTGCAGAGGAAATTGGCTTGGAGAGGTTAAGAGATTTGCTCTTGACACCCAGATCCTCTTCCTCCAGTTTCTATTATTTCCATTACAGTGGACTCTCAAGTACAACTATAAGATGAAATCTGGTGTTGGCCCCCTCCCATAAAACATCCTCATCAGCAGAGGGCGCCAGAGCATCAATGGGTCTTGGAATAAGGTTTGTAATACTCGCCCAGCCACTTTAAGAGCTAGGGTGGGTGCCTTGGGCATATTATTTTTTTCTGAGCTTCATCTGTAAAATATTGATGATAATGCAGCCCCCCCCACACACACACACGCAGGGTAATCCTAAGGATTAGAAATATTCTGTGGCTGGTACACAGTAGGTGAACAGTAAATTATATCTCTCATCTTCCCATAATAGGATCACAGGAGCAGTTTGGAGGTTAAATAAATGTTGATTCTTGTTTGATGCTTTAATAAATATTTTAAATTAGTTTGCATATTTGTCATTTAAAAAATAGGCAAAGAGTTATATCAAATGGGCAAAGAAATGAATATTGATGGAAAAATTTTAATATCCAGTAGTGCTGGCAAGAAGGTAAGGAAGCAGATTGGAACTTTTTTTTTCTGGAAAGCCTTAGAAACATGATATGCTGCTTGACCCAGAATCTATTTGACCTAAGAAAAAAAATATTAAATGGTAGCAAGATTTAGAAAAACAAAAGATGTCACCACCACTCTCTTTATAACAGTAAAAGTGGAAATAACCTAAACATTCAATGTGGGCACAAGTTTAATAATTATAGTCTCTGTCAGTTGAACACTATGCAGTTATTTAAATGATGCTATATAAGAATATTCTAAGTGGAAAGATGATCACAACACAGCAAGCAAAAAATCACAAGACAAAAGCAGCCTGTTTTCACTTTTGTTTAAAAATACACACAGAACAAAAGTCAAAATTTTAACAGTTATTTCCATAGGAGATGAGATTGTTCGTGATGCTTTTTTTTCTACTTCTCTTTGCTTATCTTATTCTAGATATGTTCTGCAATTAACATATATCATTTTTATTATTTAGAAACTAGTGTTTTCTTTTACATGTGCAGAGTTGGTGTCTTTCATTCAACACTGCCTGCCAGCACAACCAGGCCAGTGGTAATGGAAAATAAGTTAATTGTAATAAAGAGCCTTGGAAGTTCCTAGGTAGTTAGTCAAACAAAGTAATTAAAATCCTAATGAAATTTCACAGAGCTGGTCACCTAGCTTTGACTTAGCTGCTGAAAGGCTGCTATAAATAGACACGGGCTTCAGTTTTTCAAAAGGCCTAAAAATGGCATAAAATAAAATATGAACAATTGTTCATGTGAAGGGCCATGTGCCATGTTTGTCCTCAGCAAATGTAACCTGAAACTCCCCCATATCTCATCCTCCAGGTTGGCTGCACATCTCTGGACCGGGTGTATTTACTCTCCATTACTCAATTTACTCTTCTGAACTTGAAATGGAGTGGAATTTCAATGTAGAGTTAGTTACCCATTAGCTCCAGGGCTAAATTTAAACCTTTAATTAAATTAATCCGTTGATCTTAAACATATTGCTTCTCCCTCAGAAACGTGTACAGAGGTTTCTTAGATGTCGCAGAGCTTAACCCAGTATGACGTTGATTTCTTATTGCGTTTGGGAAGTAGCCCAAACCGCATAGGGAAACCAGCACACGTTTTCGGATCGCTCCTGCCCCCCCCCAACTCACCCCATACCACCCTGGGGGTGGTTCTGGGGTATAGCATTCAGCGATTCTTCCCAGACCCAGAGCTGCAGCTCTGGGCAGGAACCTATCTTTATAGAATACATGGTAGGTACCAAACGGATGTTATCAAATGAATGGTAATTAACTGTACATATTGGTCCCAGTTTATATAGGAGGAAAGAGATCATAATCCACAAAAATTTGCAAGGTAACAAGGGGAAAAGAGGCGCGAGGCCATTTTAGCCCACCTCAGTCTTCATAGAAAGCAGAGCACATTCCAGGGCTAAAGTAAAAATGTATATTGGCCTTTGCTAAGAAAGAGATGAAAAGTGACAGCACCATCAAATGGGGGTCTGTAAATTAGTCTGGCTATATGTAAAATGTTCACAGGCTCGGGCTCTTAAGCACCCGGGGTGTGCTGCTTCCTCAGCCTGAGAATGAATGAGACACAACATCACACTGGTCAGCGACAGCTCTAAGCTGAGACTGTTGTAAGTTCACGTAAGGGGCTGTTGACCTACCCGTGTAACTAGTAACAAGGACTTATTTCTCAGGGCCCAACGGCAGCGCGGGGTCCAATTAACAAGCTCGAAGGCCAAATCTAGGCGTTGATCCAAATAAAAGTCCTGCAGACCCACAACTCATCGGGGACAATATCCTCACACCGTGCGTGACTCAAGGGGTTCTGCTCGCACCCCGAACTTCCAGGCTGAGCGCGCGGGGGAAACGTGCTCGCCTCTGGCTTGCCCCTGGCTACGGTGCGCCCCGACTCTCCCTGCAGGAAGCTCGGGCAACCAGGACGTCCCGGCGGATCCCCCACCCCGCCACCCCCTCGGCTTTCTCTTCCTCCTTCTCCGGCCCCTCGCCTCCCGCCGCCTGCCTCTGCGGCCGCCGCCTGCGGCTTTGTTTTCCTCCCAGGTTTCAGTCCCCACACGTGATACAGTGTTATTGCAAAGAGCGCTCCGGAGCGCGAGCGCGGGGCGCGCGCACCTATAAATACGGACACCCAGGCCCGCCGCGGGAGCACCCCGGGGCCGGAACCAGCAGGCAGCCGGTCGGCCGGAGAGCAAGCGAGCGAGCGGCGCGCGCGGGCCGGGGCGGCGGCGTCCCCCGCCCGAGCACCGAGGGGCGAGCATGGCCCGCCCGCGGGGGGGCCGGGCCGCCACGCCGCCAGCGCCCCGCGCCCTGCCCAGCCCGGGTCGCCGGCGCTCGCGCCCGCGGCTTAGCACTCGGGCGCCGCTAGCTTGTCGGGGCATCGCAGAAATATCGCCGCAGACGGACACAATGGCGGCGGCTGCAGCCACCCCCAGCGCGGCCGCCTGCAGCAGTAGCAACAGCGGCGGCGGCACCACCGACGCCGCGGGCACCAACGGATTGCAGCAGCGGCCGCAGCAGCCTCAGACCGCGGCCACCGCGCCGGCTCAGCCGCCGCCGGAGCCCCCCAGGAAGCCGCGCATGGACCCGCGGCGCCGACAGGCTGCTCTCTCCTTCCTCACCAACATCTCGCTGGACGGCCGGCCGCCGCTGCAGGACGAGGAGTGGGGCGGCGGCGAGGAGAGCGGCGCGGCCAAGTCCGGCGCGGGCAGCGCCTGCGGCGCGAGGACTCGGCTCAGCGTGCTCGCCGTAGCGGAGCGGGGAGGCTGCACCGCGCTCGCGGCGGCGGCGGGCACGGCGGCGGCGCTGGCAGCTGGCTCCGGTTCCTGCCTCCCGCAACCCTCGCCGCTGCCGGCCCTGGTCCCCGGCGGCCACGCGTCTGTTCCGGGCCTCGGGGTGGCCCGGGGGTTCGCAAGCCCCCTGGGCGCGGGCCGGGCGTCGGGGGAGCAGTTGCAGCCGCCCCGGTCGGCGCCTCTCGCCGCCTGCGCTCAGCTGCAGCTACCAGACGGGCAGGAGGAGTTGGAGGAGGACGATGCCTTTACCAGCGTGCAGGTGCCGGCTGCCGCCTTCCTGGGCTCCGGGACCCCCGGGAGTGGGAGCGGCAGTCGGGGCCGCCTCAACTCGTTCACTCAGGGAATCCTGCCCATCGCCTTCTCCAGGCAGACCTCGCAGAACTACTGCTCCCTGGAGCAGCCGGGCCAGGGGGGCAGCACCAGCGCCTTCGAACAGCTGCAGAGGTCCCGGTAAGTATCCAGGACACGACGCGCGCCTAACCATGCGTCCCTCTCCGCTCGCTCTTTGCTGCGGGACACGGGTGTCTCCCACCTTTCCTCCTGGCTTCTGCGGGAATCTCCTGGCTTCTGGCCCGAATTCCAAACCACAAGGGCACACTCAAAAGAGGGTATGTGTTCACAGAGAGTCCCCAGAGAGTATGTGTTCACACGTGTACACGTGTGTACACAGCCCAGCACTCGCAGAGCAGAAGCACCAAGTTCATACAGTGGGTCCGGAGTTAGGAGTTGCGGGAGATCATTAAAAAGCGGCACTAAACCCTCTCATCGCAAAGAGATCTCGAACTTCCAGAAACCTGGTTCAGACCCAGAGACGCGCTCGACCCACCGCAGGCGAAACTTAAGAGGGGCACAGAGCCGAGCGGTGGGTCGGGCCCGCGCGGCTCGGTCGCGTATGTGAGCCTGAACTTGTCGCAGACATATGGTGAATCGCTCCTGAGAAATTCATGTATGCGCTCAAGTATTACTGTGTCTCAGGAAAACTTAGCGTTTTCCTTTTCCTTTCCTAAAAAAATATTAAGTCCTTCTTACATTCCCTTGAACCGGGCCTTGGGGCTGGGGGGCAGGGGAGGATATAAGTCTTGAGTATTCTTTTTTCCATTCCAAGATGGATTTACTAGAGTTAGTTAAAAGCTTGTTGTACTTGCTAGCTTAAGTTATCTGCAGGTATTAGCAATCTTAGCAAAAACATGAAGTATTGGAAATTGGCTTATTTAGGAAATAGCTGGAGCTTGTCACCAAATATTCAAGGGACAGTTGGGAGTTAGATCTGTCAGGCAGTGGGACAGGAGATTGGAAGAGGATCAGAGTTGGGGGAGGGGGAGGTGGGGAATGCAGGCCTGTTGCCTGGGAGGGTGTATCCATCCTCCCTTATGAGTTAATAAGGCCTCCTATGCAGTTAGTTATACCACTGACTCCACCTTGGCTCAGATAATTTAACCTGGGGCCTCAGTTTCCCTTTCTGGGGGTTGGGACCTTGCCAATATTTTGCAGGCCTCAAGATGAGAAGGGAGAACATTTTCTGTTCCGCCTTCTCTCCTGTGATGCTCATCTGAAAGCTCAGGCTTGCTCTGGCCCTTTAAGTAAGAAAGTGGCCTATTGGAAAACTTAACTTCCTCCCCCAAGGGACAAATAGGGAAGAACAAGTTGGGCTCATTTAGAAGTTGGCTGAGTCTCTTTCTTCCCAAGTGGATGAAATCATGGCCCTGTCCAGTATGTAGCAGCACCTAGGCTACAGACAGGGGCATGGAGTGGGGGAAGCAGCCTTGTGATTATATGGATGAATTAGTGATGCTGGGCACAGGTGACAGCCTGGCCCTGGCATTTCTTGTTAGAGACATCTCGGCATTAGCCCAGGAGTGCACGGGAGGGAAATGCCTTCTGTTGGGGGTGAGTGGTATGCACTCAGCAGTTTCTGGGTAGTTCACTATTGCCACTTGACATCACTCACTGGCTCTTGTCTATAGCCTGAGCATAAACCCAGCTAGTCTAGAGGGTCATTGCAGGCATTGTAATAAACATACATGTTATGCTAAGCCAGTATGCAAGGCTGGCCTGTGCCATGGGTTAGATAGATATGTTCCTGTGCTAAGAGCAGCTGGAGATCAGATTACCTCATACTTTGTCTCTGAGAATCTCATTTAAGGGAGCATGGAGGATCGTCTGTGTTAGTGTTTCTGATCCAACCAGTAGCCAGATTTTAATCTCTGATCCTATCAATTTGAAGCTCTTAGATGTTTTATTGATCTCTCCCCACAACACACACATTAAGACGAGTTAGTCAATATAAGGCGCTTCCTTACCTGACAATCACATTCATCTTACTACTTCGGAATTTTCCGTCATTGGCAACGTGATAGGCATTAAAAAAAAAAAAATTACAGCTATCCACAGAAACAGCATCAAATTTAATGCACAGAGAGGAGCTAAATGGGTAAACCTTGATTTAAGAAAGGCCTCAAAGAGCTGGCTTGGCCACCAGCTGTTGGCGTGGCAGTGAACTTGAAATATCCTAGGATGCTTTGTCCCTTACACTGCCCTGCTTTCAAGAATTTTGTCAGGAGCATGCTGCTTTTATGATCACTCAAGAGTACGTTCACCTGCCTAGACAAAGCTTGATATAAAGTACAAACTCAAGGCCAGGGCCAGCCCAAAGAATGCTATTTGCTTTCTTGGTGTGCCTCCCACGGAGAAACCCTGCTAGCTTGGGTGGCTCCATATGCTCCTTCACGGATGTTCTCCTGGCATGTCATTTGAAAATCAAATTATGCTTTCCTTGGATTTGTTTCTTGTTATTTAAGGAATTCTACAGAACCTTGCTGCTCAAAAGCGTGGGCTCTTGGCTCTTCAGTGTCACTGGAGCTCTTAGAAATGCAACCTCTCAGGCCTCACTCTAGATTACATGAGTCCAGATCTGCATTTTAACAAGATCCTGATTGATTCATATACAAATAGAAATTTGGAAAGCATTGCCATAGTGTATCTGAAATCTGCCTTTCTTAATGAGCTTGAGATTTCATATATCAGGTTTGTTGCAGGTGTATAAAATCAGAATGATCCCGTGTGAAATCTTGAAAACCATTCTTTTTTGTTATTTACATCTGGGCAGTTGTGAAACCAATCACAACTATTGCTTTGACTTCCAAACTTTGAAATACAGAGGAAAATTTTTGTACCCAGGCCTGGCACAGATGTGTCGATGGAATGATGACACAGTCTCTGTGCTCTGGGTGAATATTTGACATCACATTTAATCCTCACGGCTATTCTTTCACAGACCCAGTTTAGCCTCAGCTTTGCTGCTATTTGCCAGTCTCCGTTGTAGTGTGTGGAAACCCAGGACAATGGGCCGAGAAGCAGGGACTCCACCCTGGGAAGCCAGCACGCTGGGGGTTTGCTCTTGGGCTAGGTGTCAGAAGTGGGAAGTCAAAAACATGCCTCATAGCTTGACATCCTGTCATATTTCTCTGGGCAGTGAACACTGCATAAGGAAGGTGTGTTTTAAGGTTTCCTTTCACTTTAAAATTTTTTTCTGAGGCAGCCGCTGGCAGCAGTCCTGTGTTACCCCACTTCCTAGATCTTCACAATGGCAGGCTGACGCCCAGAAGCACATAGTCTAGGCTACTCACCAGAAGGGTTAATCGTGACGAGGGTATTACTTTAAAATAACATGAGGGTTTTGCTTCTTAGGACACCTGAGTTGGTGTTGTGTCTTGTGGCATTAGGTCTTACATTGAAGGAGGCCACGTGGTGCAGAAGAGCCCCAGGTCTTGGGTTTGAATTCTGATACCACTACATGACCCAGGGCAAGTTAATTGGCTTTTCTGGGTCTGTTTCCTCCTGAGAGCTTTGGCTCATGTCTTGGGCTCTTTCAAGTGCTAATTGCACTTAACATTTATTATTGCGGGCTGACTGTGAATGGGCATGTAATAATCAATGCTTTATAGTGTCTGAGCTTCTCAAATGTAAATGTGTTTAGAATCACCTGGGGATCTCCAGAAAAGGCAGGTTTTGATGCTGTAGGTCTGGGAGGGACCTTGATTCTGCATTTCTAACTAGTTCCTGGGATGCAAGATGGACTGCACTTTGAGGAAGCAGACTTCAGGGGGACTTTTCATTGTTACTACTATAAGGTCAAGGAAAACGGCTCAGAGAGGTCACTCAGCATTGGGACAGAGTTCAGGCTCACTTAACACCCCACTGCTTTGCAGACTTGGAGCTCCTAACGACTTCTCCCTTGATGTTGCCCATCTTGGGTGAAACCTGGGTCATGCTGTAACTGTATTGTTGGTTTTTACGGAAAAGAAAAATACGAGCCTCGCGGAGACTAGGAGATCGACAACCAGAGTAAGAGAGGGGAATAGCACATTTGCTAACTTTGCCACCATCTTGCTTTGGGACTGCAGGCAAGTCACCACTTTGTGTGCTCCAGCGGTAAGCCACCTAAGCCCTCTGGATTTCAGAAGTCCGTAAAGGTCTTTGAGCTCCTCAGCAGTAAGCAAACCCAAGCTATTACTGAGCCATCTTTGCAGCAGCATGAATTATGGAAGCCAAAGCTGCAGTCCCAGGCCGGGCCAGGCTGTGGTCAGGATGAACGCTCCCCCAGGGGTCAGTGGAGGCCGTGCCCTGCCAGGGCCTGAGGTGAGCCGCTCAGGTTCACCTGCTGCCCTCCTCTTTGCAGACACAAAGCCGGTAATGGCATGAGTAAACTCAGAAGGGGAAATAAATCGGAAGCCTGCTCACTCTTGGCAAGTTCCCAGAGAGGGCAGCAAGTTCAATTGTGACCTTTTACCCTCCAGGAAGGGCGGGGGGAGCTGCCGCATGGCTCTGCGGTGTCCACGATGCTGTCCCAGGAAGCTCTGCCTGCCTGGACCTTTTTCCATGGGAAGGAGAGTTGCTAGGTAGAGAGAGGGCCAAGGGCAGGTGGCCTTTGGAATACACTGGGAAGGGAAGGTAGGTGAGGCCAGGGGAGGTGACATGATGTGGATCAGGAATGCCAAACCGGCACTTGGCAACCCTGGATTCTGGACCTTGCCCTGCCATGGCTAGTAACCCTGGACGTGTTGCCTCACCCCCTGCCCAGTCTCAGTCTCCTTATGGAATTAAAGAGTTGGGCCAGATAAACACTAGCTGCTCTTCCAGGTTGAGTGCTCTGAGAGTCTTAGAACTGTGGCCTGCTGCTGAGACCGGGATGTGTTTAGCTTGGGGATGTTTGGATAACCTAACCTTAGAATCAGATGCAGACGTGGTGTTAAGTTTGTTCCGTGTGGCTTCTTTGGCACGACTTGCACTAATGAATGAATGAATGGGTTTCCTTCAGTGTCTGGGAGAACTTTAAGAACATCTTCAGCTGTGCCCCCCCTGGCAGGGGAGGTGTCACAACTGGACTGACAGCTTTAGGAGGCCATCCAAGCTGGAAGCCACTGCCCTGTGAGGTGGTCAGCCCCTAACCG